AAGAAAGGAAAGTAAAAGGTAAGCCACAGACCGCCACCATTTTTTGCTAAGTTCTCACGATCTCTATCTTTGTTATATTTGTGTAAAATATGACCGGAAGCAGGGTCAAGTTGTTGTTGAATTTGGTTAGAACCAGATCCACTAGGAGTGCCAGTACTGATGGTAGGATCTATAATTTTTCCGGCTTCTATGTTAGTTTTTATCCATAAATCTTTGTGAGCACTTCTCAAGTGTCTAGTTAACCCCCCCGTCCCACCACTTAATGAGTGTGCAAATTGTTGCTTATATTTTTCACAGATAGCACGATGATTGACTTTATCATGTTTAAAAAATTCCATACAAGTGATGTTTTGGGACGTTCAACCTTAGGCTTACCCCTTACAGGGGGTACAGGGGGTAAAGCTCCAGACTGAGATTGACTCTGAGTTGGAGCTTGTGTTGCGGGACTAGTGGGTGTTTCGTCTAATTCTTCTTCCTCATTTTCTTCATCCTCAAAAAAAATATCGTTGCCAAATTGTCTTTGTAAAGTTTCATGATCTAATTGTTCTCCGACATGAACATCATAAAATGTGGGGGGTTGAGAAAATGAAGTTTCATCAACATGAGTCATTTCATCAATATTCGTTCGAACTCTAGGGGGGTATAGGAGAAGGGTTAGGATTAGGATTACTACTACTTTCACCTTTACTACTTTTTTTACTACTTTTTTTAAACATACCAAATACATTTTTAGGTGCCATGATTTAAATACGAAACTAAATTAAAAAAGCTAATACAAATATTACACACACAAATGAAATACGAAAATATAACACGTAAAGTAAACACAAAAATTAAGCACTAAAATGATACGCAAAAATTATATATTAAAATTAGGAGATGGAACGAGTGCACCGTGATTAAATATTGAAACTTGAAGAAATTGCCCGAAATATTGCTCCAAATACTTGACGAACTAATTTGAAGCTTGAAAGCTCCAAAAAATTTGCCCAAATACTTGAAAGTTGAAAGATATCACTTGATAGTAACAATATTGAGAGAATAATATAGAATATTAGAATGTAAGAGATTTGAGAGAGAAGATTGATTTTTTGTGGGAAAAAATGAAGAAGAATGGGGGGGTATTTATAGTAGAAAATAGGGCCAAAGTGTCAAATATTAAACTTAGGGGTTATATTAAAAGTTTGGGGGGGAGAGGGGGGGTTGGGGGTGTTTTGGGGGGTGTGGGGGCTTTTTGGACCGTTGGCAACGGCTATTTTTGCAATTTAAGCCGTTGCCCAACAGCTAGTTTTTAAATTAAAAAAAAACAGGCGGGACGGGACGGGACACGGGACGGGACGGGACGCGGGACGGGACGGGACGGGACGCGGTACGGGACGGGACGCGGGACGGGACGGGACGAAGCTGGACGAAACGGGACGGGACAAACGGGACGAAACGGGCGTCCCGTCCCGTCCCGTGTCCCGCGTAACATTGCCCCATCCCGTTTAATTTTTAGCGGGACGGGACGGGATCGGGACGGGTCGCGGGACGGGACGGGCCGGCCCGTCCCGGTGGACAGCCATATTCTAGGCTCCAAAGAGTCAAACAGTAGTCATTCTCACTGCTGGATTATTCATTGTCAATTTGATTACAAGTGTCATTATTTTCTTGGAATTGTGTTGATATATTTTACTTGATTGTATTTAGAGTATCCGGAGCACATGAAAAAGCAGCATCAGACTGGAAATAGAGTAAGCCTTTTCAGAACTAATAATTACCCGAACTTTCTATGGTATAGTGCTTTACAATTTTTTAATCTGTACAATATAATAGCACTTCATTAATAACATTCCTTAAGAAGAATGTTGTACTATTTTGGCAAAATGCCTTAGTACCCCCTAAACATGTCGAGAATTATTAGTTTCCTCCCCAAATTATCTCTGGTTCGAATTACCCCTACACTAGGATAAGTGAATTTAAAAACCCCCGAGTCTCCTACACCTAGTTAAGTGCATACACGCGCGGTACATGTGGACAATTTGTACTCCACGCAGGCAAATAAAATGAGTATTAAAATTATAATATTAATAACTAAAGAAAAAAAAGGGGAAAAAATAAAGAAAAGGTAAAAGGCAGCAACGTTAGAAGTAAAACATTTCCCCTTTCATTTTTATAAACACCCTTCTCTCTCTATTAAAAAATTTCTCAAATGCCTCTTCCAATGCCTCTTCAATAGAGTAGAATAAGACTTCAATTGTGGTGTATTTCTGATCATTTGTGGTTTCTTCTCCGGTCATCAAGCTTTTTCAATGGTCTTCTCCAACTATTTCAAACAGACAAAACCAAAAGTTAAAAGTTACAACATTGTACTATTAATTTTGAAAGTTAAATATTGATGAATTATGTATATGGTTGTAGGTTGTCCCATGGCTTCTAAGTACTTTAATTTTAGATGGAAAATTGGTGTAATGTTGGTAAGTGAAGTAGGGCCTGTTTTTGTTGGAGGTAGGATGAGTATTCCTTCAATATTGATTTGATCACTTATCTATCCCTGAATTAGTAGATATTGCAAAGGATTTTGGGGTTACTAAATTGGGACCCACTTATATTGCACCTTCTAAGGGTGGCAAATTGGTAAAACTAGAGAAAGACAAGAATTTGTTAGACCTTGGAGTATTGTTGAATGATGGGGACACAATAGATATATTTATCTACAATGACTCTAATTTTGAGGATGTGGGGCATGTTGGCCAACATGTTGTCACGACCCGGATTTTTCTCACCATCGGGCGTCGTGATGGCGCCTACTAACGGAGCTAGGCCAACCATACGTTAAACATTCACTATCCAACCTCAACAATATAATATACTAACAACAGTTAAAGAAATGCGGAAGACTTTAAGTTTAACAAAAGATATAAAAATGCGGAAATTTGAAACACATCCCTACCCAAAATCTGGTGTCACTAGCTCACGGACTACTATAGAATACTACAACAAGTCGGAATGAAAGAAATGCACATGTCTGTTTCGATACAATGAAAACAAACTGAAATAAGGAAAGGGACTTCGGCCTGCGAACGCAAACTAGGCTACCTCGAGAGTCCCTGGACTGAAGATAGCTCCCGGATAAGAATCCTACTGCTGCTGTCCAAAAGCTGCTCCTGGATCTGTGCACAAAGAAATGCACAGAGTGTAGCATCAGCACAACCGACCCCATGTGCTGGTAAGTGCCTGCCCTAACCCCAGCGAAGTAGTGACGAGGCTAGACAGGACTACCAAACCAACATGTACAATTTTTATATACAAATATGCAACAAAAGGAAAGAAAATACCGGAACTAAACAGTTAAAAGGGGGGGGACATGCTGTGGGAGAGTACAATTTGGATATAAAGTTCAACAGCGTAATTAAGAAACATGGCACAACAATAATTATCAAAGAATAAGAAATTCAATAGTTGCACGGCATCACCCTTCGTGCTTTTACTCTCAATCTCACCCAAAGCAATCAAATAAAATGCACGGCATCACCCTTCGTGCTTTCCCTCACATAGCTCTCATCTCACGGCACGGAATGACCCTTCGTGCAAATATAATCAAATCAGAGCACGGAATGTACCTTCGTGCATAAATAGTCAAAACATAGCACGGCATGACCCTTCGTGCAAATATAATCAAGAATAGCACGGAATGACCCTTCGTGCAAATATAATCAAGAATAGCACGGAATGACCCTTCGTGCAATTTCACTCTTCCTCACCCAAATAAAAGTCACAACCAAACGGGCAAGGGGAATAAACAAGTAATATGAACTGTCCCGGCAAGGGAATAACACAAATAACAACCAAGTCCCGGCAAGGAAACAATAACAATATCTTTCACAACCCGGCAAGGGCAATACTCACTGTAATCAAACCATCCTGGCAAGGGATTAATCACAACTCTTTTCAATACGTTCATCTCTTACTCAATGGTATTTAACACTCGAGCCAATGCTCAAAACTGTTAATATTTCACAACTTATCCTCCGACTCTTCACATTTGCAGAAAAACATTTTTGTAGCTTAGAAGAGTTCCAAATTATCTCATAAACAAGTACAAACAAAGACCCACGGTCATGCTAGACTCCGGTGTATAGACACTCGTCACCACGCCTATACACCGTACTCGATCAATTAGCAAATAGCATTTATGATACTCTAATCCTATTCCCTCAAGCCAAAGTTAGATCAAACACTTACCACGGTCCGAAAATAGCAATCAAGCCTCTAACACCGCCTTTCCTCTAGAATTCGACTCCGAAACAATGATATCTAATCATAATTAATTCAATAATATCAAATGAGGCTCAACAACATAATCCCATAGCCTAGAAATGAATTTCCTACCATTCTTCCAAAAATAGCAAAATCCGACACCGGGCCCACATGGTCCAAACTCGAGGCTCGGACCAAATTCCAATCACCCATAACCCCACGAGTTCAAATATATAATTTGTTTCAAGATCCGACCCCAAATTGAGGTTGAATCGCCCAAAATTTTCAAAAACCTAACTCTACCCATTTCCCCCAATTTCTACCCTAAATTATATGTTTTAGGCTTAGGAATTCAACAAATATTGATGGAAAATGAAGAAAACGAGTTAAGATTTACTAACCCAAGAAGTTTTGGTGAAAGGGAGCTTCAATGGACGCCTAAAGACCTTGGAGAAGAAGGAGCTCGTGTGTTTTCATGAAATTCCCGTAACTACACTGTTCTGGAAATTAAAAATATAACTGGGCAAAATTGCCCTTCGCGTTCGCGGGAAGAGGGCCGCGTTCGCGAAGGGTAACTGGGCAGGTCAACGCGTTCGCGATTGGGAGGATGCGAACGCGAAGGAGAAACACTGGGGGGTCCAGGATTTGTTCTACGCGAACGCGTGAAAGCCCACGCGAACGCGCTGAAGAAAGCTGCAAGGCTACGCATTCGCGAACAGTTGAATGCGAACGCGAAGAGGAAAATACTGGGGTCCCAAATTTGGCTTACGCGAACGCATGATGTTGTACGCGAACGCGATGAAGGAAATTCTGATGCTTCGCGAACGCGGGAGAGAGAGTGCGATCGCGAAGAAGGAAATGACTGGGCACCTGTTGCAGACTTTTCTGCAACTTTTCTAAGTTTTAAAACCTCTCGGAACACCTCCGAAACACTCTCGAGCCCTCGGGGCTCCCAACCAACCACACACACTAACTCGATATCATCCTACGAACTTGCTCGAGCGATCAAATCGCTAAAATAACATCAAAATCAAAGAATCAACCCCCAAAACTCATAATTTTTATTTCAAAGTTCATAAACTTCTAACTTTAGCTATTTAGGTCCGAAACACGTCAAACGACGTCCGATTTCGACCAAATTTCACAGGAAGCGCTTAACGCATATTTAAGACCTGTACCGAGCGTCGGAACCAAAATACGATCCCGATACCTATATTTTCTAACTCATTTTCATTTCCATTTTTCCTTATCAATTTCAGAAAACAATTTATCAGAAAAATTCTTTTACCGAGGTTCTGGACCCCGGATTTCGACTCCGGGCACATGCGCGAGTCCCATATTTTCCTACGGACCTCCCGGGACCGTTACATCACGGGTCCGGGTCCGTTTACCCATAATTTTGACCAAAGTCAACTATATCAATATTAATATCATAATTCACCAAATTTTTCACAGAATTCATATATTTTAACATAAAAAATTTTCGACTTCGCGCCCGGAGTGCGCACGCAAATCGAGGCAACCAAAAGTGAGGTTTCCAAGGCCTCGGAAGCGCGGAAAAATGGAGAACCACGGTGATGACCCTTATGGTCGTCACACATGTGAATGTTGAAAAGGGAGGTGGTAGTCAATTAACTAATATAAATGGGGGCAGCAGGGAATCTGAGCCTTTATTTATTCCACACCCACCAATAATTGCACCAGCTCCAACTATAGATCTAGATCTAGAGTTTCCTTCTTCTCTAAATACTTCTGAAAGGGCTGAAAAAAATATAAGAGAAGAAGTAGATGCTGCCAGTGGTGATTTCCAGAAAGAAGGTTCTGCTAGTGGAGATCTAAATAATTCCAGTACTTCCTCTGAAGAAGATGCAGGCACTGAAGAAGAATTTGAACTTTCTGATGATTATGGAAGTGATGTCCATGAAGAACTTAGGGTTGTGAAACAAGATTTAAAGGCTTTCAAAGTAAAAAAAGCGAAAAAAAGTAGGAAAGAAAGACCTGATGGGTTTCTAGGTGAGGCTGGACTAGATGAAGGTTATGATGATATTGATAAAGAAAGAAAAAATCTGAAGGATAAATTGGGAGGTGATGATGATGAGCCATATTACGACTCATCAGAGGCTGACAGCTTTGCTAGTGAATCTGAAGGTGAAGCTGTCAGTGATGATGAAGTAGTAGAAGAAAACTTGAGGGTAAGGATAAAGAGTAACGGGGTAGTATATGATCCTTCTTGTGAGAAAGTTATTTGGGAGATTGGTCAAGTATTTGAAAATGTGAAAGAGTTCAGAGAGGCTTTGACCAAGTATGTTGTAAAGAAAGGGGTTCAACTAGACAAATATAAGAATGAGCCAAGTAGAGTTAGGGTGAAGTGCAAAGATGGTTGTCCTTGGATGATATATGCTAGCAAGGAAGGTAGGAGTTCAAATTTCACAGTTAAGACATATAATCCTAGACATAAATGCCATAAGACCAACATCAACTTTCTTTGCAATTCAAAATATCTAGCTAATCATTATAAAGAGAGGATTATTTCACAACCTACCATTAAAGGGTGGAAAATACAAGATCTTGTTAGGGAGGACTTTGGTGTGTATGTGGGTAAGGCTATTTGTTTAAAGACAAGAAAAATTATTTTGAAAGAAGTCATGGGAGATCATATTGCTAAGTTTGGTAGACTTTTTGAAAGAAAAATTGCTCATTCTAACTAAACTGGACCAGCGTGACGGTCTGGGTCGTATAACACACTTGGGGTGTGTTTGGTATGTAGGAAAACATTTTCTGGAAAATATTTTTTAATTTTCCCATGTTTGGTTGGCTTAAATATTTTGGAAAATATTTTCCTTATGAACTCATTTTTTTCCTTATTAAGAGAATGGAAAATATTTTTCAAAACTCCTTCTCAACCTTCCCTATCCTCACCAACCCACCCCATCCGTTCTCTCCAAAAACGGTTTTTTTTTTAAATTTTAGTTTTTCCGTTACCACCCACCCTATTACCCCTCCACCCCACCCCCACCCCCACCCTCTCCCGCAAAAAAACATTATTTTTTTCACCTTATTTCTTTTATTGCAATTTTAAATTTTTGTTTTTTCGTTTTTCTGCACCACCCATCCCCCAACTGCATTACCCCCCCCCCCCCATAAATAGTTTTTTTTAAAATATATTTTTCAGTTTTAGTTTTTTTATTTATCGGTTTAAAGGTTTAAAATTTTACAAGTTACAAAGTTATGAGTTTGGAGGTTTATGTGTTTGGAAGTTTACGGGTTAGAAATTTTGCGGTTTCGAAAGTTTAGCGGTTTGAAAGTTTATGAAAAATGTGAGTTTAGAAGGTTGTTGGTTTGAAAGTTTATGGCTTCATGTTTACTATCTCTAAATTATTTATGAATATTCTTGAGAAGTCATTTTCCTTAGTTTGCGTACCAAACACCGGAAAATAGATAAGATTACTACTTATTCTCCGGGAAAACATTTTTTTAACCAAACACACCCTTGAACAGATATTGAATTCAAATGAAAACCGGAGCTGGTTACTTTGTGCAGCTTTTGACTTAACACTGATTTTACCTTTTTAAATTTTCTGAAAAGTACTTATTGTGCAGTAATTTATTGTACAGTACGTTACGCTTCTCTACTTGCAGTAGTTATTTTTTAATGATCAAACCCTTGGCTACATTATGTAATTGACAGGTTCTAATATATTCGTCAAAGAGTTAAAAAGGAAAAGAAGCTCATATGAGAAAACTTAATTGTTGGGCCCGTGCTTTAGCACGGTCTGACTACATCTAGTACGTAGTTAAGTGCAAAGAAGAATAAAATTAGGCTTAAAGTCACTCTGCGTTGTACTTGGGTGAAAAAAAAAAAAAAGAAGTGTCACTTGCAGACTATGGCCCCTTTTAATTGGATTAGAGAACTCTTTGGAAAAGCTTTCCCAAAACTAAAAAGATATGTGTGTGATTTGGCTCGTTTCATGCAACTTTAAAAATAGCAAGTTGGTGTATACCAAACTCAGAATAGTACTAATACAATAATTAGTGCACTCTCCTTACTAATTTGTTTTTTCCTCTTCAAACATCAAAAGATAATGTCAATAAACGTAACCATGTTAAGGGTTAATTATTTTCATTTATTTTAATCGGCCATGAAAAATAAACTCAGAGTTACTCAAAGATTTTATCCTTTGCGTACTTGACCATGAGAAAACAACAACAATCAGTTCGTGTGTTCTTTTTTTCGTCCTACTTTTTCTATATGGCTTTTGTAACCACCTTTGACGAACACAATTTTTTTCTTTCTCCTTAATTTGTAAGCACGAGGGTAATATCTGTAGATTAAAATTAGGGCAAGTTGCATACATTTGATTAGTCGGTCAAAAATAATTACATTCATTAGCCAACAACAATATACACTGATTAGTATTTATGTATATTTTTTCTATATAAATATTCACCAACATATAATATATGGATATATATATATATATATATATATATATATATATATATATACACAGAAGGTAATAAGGATTGTACTGTAAATGGGTCTGACTTGAATTTATTTGCCCTTTCTGTATTGCATTTCTCTTTTAACAAATCATGTGTGCACACGTGTGATTGAAGCTATACGTGCCTTCTTAAAGCTGCACACGTGTGATTGAAGCTATAAGTGTCTTTTTATGCTTTTATGCAACTGCTCATCTTGTGACTTACGTGTCATTACACGATGCAACTGAATGATCGCCTCTTTTTATGGGAGGGAGACACTGAACGACTTGCCACTGCATTCTTTCTGTTCTGTAAAGACTTCGTTCGAACTATGAAATTCAGCAGAAAATATTACTTCTGCAAAATATTTAGTCCATTAATTGTAAGTTCGTCTTCCTTTATTGTTTTACAATTAAAAAGCCATTATTTTCTTCTCTTCTTTTGCTTTTTCAAATTTTAATCTATCTTTTCTCTGGTATTCAACTTTGTTCGTCTGTGTTGTTTAATTGTTCCTCCAGATTTTAATAATTTTTTTTCTTTGTATTTGCTTGTTCTGTGTATCCCGTATTTTTTGTGTACATACAGAACATCTATGAATACACCCTCCAAAATACACATGCATGTATCCACGGGATAATATCATAGAGCCTAAAAGTGAAGGAAGAGATTATTTCCAAGTCTGTTTAGTTTAGCTTTATTCTTTCGTGGTGATTGTGAATATTTGATTTTATTTTTTCGATAGACTGAATCTTCATTTGTCGTCTGTCCATGAATTTTTTTCCCCAGTTGTGCTTTACTTTTCTTTTTAATTCACTATGTAAGATTCTGGATATTTGATTTATATGTTTTCGCTCCCCTTTGCCTTTTCAATTTTTTATTTGTGGGGGATTCTGTATACTATGTGGTTATTTGTTCAAACGCTTGCATGAAAATTTTGTGATTAACGGGACTGAGCACACTGAGTTGCCATCTTGGGAAAAAGGAAGTGTAATGAAGGAAAATAATTTAGTTGCAGCCAAGGTGTTTGACGATATGCCTAAAATAAGGTGAATTTTCATTCCAAATCTTCTTCCAGTATTATAACATAAGCATCGATAATTTAGCTCTCTCAAAGGTACAGTGTTTAGATTCACTAGACAGAACTATCGAGCAAGATATCATGCATTGTACATCATTTTATTTAAAAAATACTTTTGTGAAATGTGTTCATTTTACTTCCACCGATATGTGTCTATTGCAGCATGGCTACTGTTTATCTAACTTTGTCGTAATAATGAAAACTAGATGCAACTCATAATTGATATTATAGAAAATTACAATCCGACAAAATTATAACTATTTGGAAAAGAAATATCGCAAATCGAGATACTACAGATTTAGAACATCAACAGATTAAGGAACAACAATTCTCAAAATATAAGGAGCGTCAATGTGCCTTTTTAAAAAAAAATTATCTCATGAAATTTATGGTAATCTCAAAAAATTATGAGAATAATACTGTTGCAGAGTTACTACACTAGATGATATGTGTTTTCCTAGATTTTTGAATAAGCTTCATAGGGATTGAAACTATGGGATTGCAGATTTTCTAAAAGACAAAGGATGTTACTACACTAAAAATTCTAGCAGGAGACTTCCCCCAAAAGGATGTTCACGCAACGGGTTGATGGAAGAAATGTGAAAATACTTAGGATTTGCTATCTGTGTGGTTAAAGGTTGGTATATATATGGTTTATTTGTTGAGACGGGAAGATCTTAGTATACTGATTCGTTGATCTGTTACATACGAGGTCTTTAGTCATGGATAATGCCTTATGAATTAATTGGAGAAAAAATAGATGCAACTTCTAAATGTTGTATCTCAACTATGTGAGCTCGCAAAGTCACTAATTTGTTGACATTATCTTTCTGGCGAAAACTTTATCTTTAAGTAGCCTAGATAAAGTAGCCTAGATGTCCAGTAGAACTTGGCTCTTAAGTACTTGTCTCTTAACAATTTCTTGAAAAGACACATGGCATAAGTACCTTCTGGATACTAGTTCTGCGATGATTTTTTAAAATCAGTAGAATCGGTTTATGCGACTTGTTTTTTTAAAGATTGATCGGCATAACAAACTTGTGTTGAGCTTAAGGAGCACATTAACCTAATTACTACTATAAGATAGGTGAATTTTATTTCATCCTAATTTGGTTTAACTCATGTCATTAGAAGCAAAGGCTCATACGTCCTAAGTCTAAACTAGCCTTAAAAGGTTAACATAGGGCCAAAACAAAGCGAGGAGTGCTTTGAATGAGTAATGTGATAATTTTCATTTTGTTTTAACTCTTTATCTTTTCCACAATATTATTTGACTTGTGTACTAGGTTGTCTACCATATCGATATGATTCAAATAAGTTTATCGCTTACAAATATTTGTTCAGATAGCCACAGCCCACAAGGTTTATCTACATAGATGCTCAGAACCTTGCACTGAATGCGACCCTAAGTTGTCTTTTCCAAAAAGTCGTGCTTAAAAGCTCTGTTTTGCTTTTCGGGAGCGTACTTGCCTTTGATTAATTGTAATTGACTTTTGTTCAAGGCCGTCAAGTGGCATTTTGGATTTTCGAGATGCAAACTGGAAGTGACATCATATTTAACTGCTATATATGTTTTTCAGTCTAAGCTATGTTACACATTGGGAATTTTTTATGCTCTATTTTTACCTTCCATAATTTTCGAAACAAGGAAATACTATAACTTTTAGGCTTTAACGTTTGAAATTGCCCTATCTTGCTATATGTATTTGCAGGTTACTCTCTTTCAGGAGAAAAGAGTTCAAGCCCTGTGACGCTAACGGACTTTAGATGGATGAAAATGAACTTTGCATTAACGTGCAAAGATGTTAGTCTCTGAACTCCCATGTTTGTGTAATCATAACCAAAGTGATAGTATGTAAATACTTTTTGTATATGTTACTATAGGTTAATGGTATTCATACCCTTCATTAAAGGACTACGGCTAACCTACTTATCAACCCTGGGAAAAAAAGGATTGTTTTGCTTACCTAAAATACCAAGTCAAGCAAGTATTGGCCCGGGCGTTGCACGGGCTTGCCTNGCTTGCCTTGCTAATATATATATATATATATATATATATATATATATATATATATATATATATATATATATATATATATATATATATATTGTCGGCTATTATTTTTTAGAAAGATTACATCAATTTAGGTCTACAGGAGAAAAGTGGAAAAGCCGGGCCCGCGCGGCTCGGCCGAGTGTAAGTATTTAGTCTTAACCAAAAGTAGAAACATACGAATTACGATCAGATTATTATAGAATTAATCGGTACTGAGAAACTTGACTGTTCTCTGATAGCTTGCTTTCCTTCTCCTCTTACTGGGACGTCTACAATTATATATTATGCAACGAAGAAAAGGCGGATGTTGGCAGTGGTTAAATAATAAATACTTTTGCAAATGTTGCCTATGTTTTAGACAACGGCCAAAGAAGTGACTACGACAGAATACCTAGAGTCATTTCTGCTTGTTTCATTAGTTCTTTCCGGTACTTTATAGATAAAAACATACTTTAGTCTCATGGTGTATAAACAAAGAAAAAGAAAAAACATATGGTAAAATAGGTTAAGGTAGCTGATAATTTATAAATATCGATTCTCATTATTCTATCTATATATTGTTCAGGCTATTCGTCTGTTGCTGCGAAAATCTATTTATTTTATTGTCTTGGATTATAGGAGATCACTTCCTTTGAATTGTATGTTTTATTGCATTGTAGTTTTTTGTTACATTTAAAAGCAATGCTTGTATTGATTGTTATTCAAAACTTTAATATTATATGATTAAATTTAGTGTTACATACGATAAAAAAAAATCATTTTGTGAAATAACTAATATGGTGTGATATGATTGTTATGGTAATTTCTTTCTTCACATTCTACCCTTTACTTCATTTTATCTTCGTAGAACATTTTCACGAGAGGGATAAATGTTGGAAGAATGTGTTGGTATTGTTTGTCCACTGTATTCAAAACCAGTAAATTAACAAACATTAGTTTAAGAAAATAAAACAGAAAAAATTTTGAGCCCACAAGTTTCTTGTATTTTCTTAAGGAATTTAAACCCCTCACAGTTGACTAAGGTTTCGGATTAATTCCTCCCAGAATAGAATGGAATAACTATTCTGTGATAGCGGTACTTCAAATCACAGAACATCAGCGAACTCAAATGGCGGAGCAAATCACACAAAATACTTACGTTTTGCTTTTGAAAACCAACGTAGAATGTAGAAGATTGAGGGGAGAGTTTCAGATTTTCGGTGGTGGAAAATGAGGCTAAGCCTCTCTATTTTTGTAGCCAACGAAGTTGAGTCCCAACAGGTGCAAAGGTGCCTGTTCGTTGGTAAGGTGTCTATTCAGCAGAAATTATCTAAATTTCTGTTGAATGGAATATTTGGTCGCGAACTCGACCATTGGAAAATGATTCCGCGAAAAAATATTAGAAAAGAAAATATTAAATGATGGAAAAGGAAAATAAATTTGGTTCTAAAAATTATCAATCAAATCAATTGACCGAATCCGAAGCCGAGCGAGCGACGGCGCGAGGCACCACTTCTTCTTTACCAACTAGATTAAATCTAATGGTACAAGATGATGTATCAAACGAGGTTGATCATAATGATGATGATCCTAAGACCTATGAAGAGGCTATACAAAGTTCTGATTATGAGAAATTGCAAAAGTCCATGGAATCCGAAATGAAATTCATGAAGGAAAATAAAGTATGGACTTCAGTTGAACCTTTAAAGGATATAAAACTTATAGGTTGTAAATGGGTTTTTAAGATTCGACTATGATGAGACTTTCTCTCCCGTGGCAATGCTCAAATCAATTCGGAATTTTCTTGCTATAGCAGTATACTATGATTATGAAATATGGCAAATGGATGTGAAAACAGCTTTCCTTAATGGTGAGCTAGAAGAGGATGTGTAAATGACACAACCTGAAGGTCTCACATCTCCGTCTGATCATAATAAAATTTGCAAGCTACAAAGATCCATTTATGGACAAGCTTCTCGTAGTTGGAATATTCGTTTTAACAAGACAATTGAAAAGTTTAATTTTGTTAGATGCGAAGAAGAACCTTGTGTGTACAAAAAGGGTAGTGGGAGCATAATTATATTCTTAGTATTGTATGTTGATGATATATTACTCATAGGAAATGACATATCGGCATTGCAAAGTACCAAGATTTGGCAATCTGAACAGTTCTCCATGAAAGACTTGGGATAAGAAGCTTATATACTAGGAATAAAGATCTATAGAGATAGATCGAAGAAGCTTTGGACTTTCCTAGTCTTTGTACATTGATACCATCTTCAAAAGGTATAACATGGATAATTTCAAAAGAGACCATCTACCGATAAGCACTGGGATTACTCTCAGTAGGGAGGATTGTCCTAAAACACCTGAAGAGAGAGAACGCATGAGTAGGATCCCACACGCTAGTGCAGTGGGAGCTATCATGTATACCATGACATGTACACGTCCTGATGTGGCTTATGCACTTGGACCGACTAGCCGATATCAGGAAAATCCTGGTGAGGAACATTGGAAGGTGGTAAAGACCATTCTTAAGTACTTAAGAAGGAATAAAGACCAATTTCTCATTTATAGAGATACTGAGTTGAAACTTGAAGGTTATACTGATGCAAGTTTCTCTTCAGATAAAGATGATAGCAAATTATTTATGATTATGTATTCACCTTACATGGAGATGCAGTGAGTTGGAAAAGTTCCAAACAAGCTACAGTAGCTGATTCAGTGACTGAAGCAGAGTATATAGCAACTAGTGAAGCTGCTAAGGAAGCTGTATGGATGAAAAAGTTCTTAATTGAACTTGGTGTGGTTTCTTCAATAGAAGATGCAGTCCCATTGTTGTGTGAAAATACTGGAGCCATTGCTCAGGCAAAAGAACCAAGATTACACCAAAAATCCAAACATGTTCTGCGAAGGTATCACTTGATAAGAGAAATCATTGAATGTGGAGACGTCGAGATTCAAAAGGTTGATGGAAAGGAAAATGCTGCAGACCCATTCACTAAAGCTCTTGGCGCAAAGGAGTTTGACAAGTGCAAGTGAAATTGGGAATGAAGTACAAGAGCGATTGGCTCTAATATTGTTAGGGATATAGTAGATATGCCCTAGATGCAATCTCATATTCTATGATTTGAACATAATTTTGTGAACGTTATTTGATATAAAAATATATGGCATTTGATATTCTTTTATCATAGTTATTATTAATTGCTTAATTAATTTAATAAGGTCCTTGATTAAATTTTGAGGCTTGTCATCGTGATGGAGATCATGATAATGAGAGTAAAGTCTCTTACAATTTAATCTAAACTTTTTTATTGATCGTAGGATTATTAATTTGGACATTAGTAATCCGGTTAGATCAATATTTATGTGATCGTCTTTATGTGATATAGATTAGTTGATCTCATTAACTAAATTACATAGATAGATGATGCATATAGAGATATGATCATTGAACCAACTCATTGAAAAATTCCTAATTGTTAGAATTACCAAAAACTGTCGATAGGATATTCTCTTGAAGAATGTGATGCAAAAGTTTCCTTTGACCTGAGATCGTAATAGTAATTGACAAGTTATTTACTGTGATTTGATACCAGGGTGATACTTGAAAGGATATTAGGTATGATTAAATTAGGTATGATGCATATAGGGTGATACTTGTAGAATTAGTGATTGATCAAGATGGAATCTGTCAACTCTTGGTAATGACTTTAAACTCCATGTTGTCATAAATTATAAACGACCAAACTAAGACCTTGACCTGGGCAACTGAATGAAAAGAAAAAAAGAGTTCCTTAGGTCATTCAATGGTCGATTAATGTTCATGCATACATAGTTGGTCGCCTATTAGGATTTGACAGTTGAACCATATCCTAGGGTGACTCAGAGCTATAAGGACAGAAGGAAATATTACTTCATTCTTCTATAGGTTCTTGAGAGTAAATTGTATACTTCATGCTATCCGGTCGTTCAGGAGTGTTACTAGACGCCACTCTTGATTAGTATATTAATGTGATCAATTTACTACCGACTTAGTATTGAACCTATTGGGTCGCACACTAACGAGTGTTCTGATCTTCGCTAAAGGATTAATTACTTTATTATTTGATAATTAAATTAAATAATTTAATTAATCAAAAAATTAGTTATTAGTCCAAATGAAATATTATTAAATTCTTTGCTAGCACAGAGGATATAATTAATATTGCGAACAAATTAAAATTTTCTATTTGGAATAAAAAATTAAAATTATATCTCTAAGTTAAAATATATATGTGATATAATTTTCATAAAGCACCATCTTTTAGTAGTAATTAGCCATCTATAGATATCATTTGCTATATTACGGATTATAGATACCTTTTATGTGGTTATAAGATGTATTTGATGTATTTAAGCTATTGTATTCATGAATACAGTAGCAAAAATAGGCGTGAATCAGGGAAGTCCAGCTAATTAGTTGTTGTATTCGAGTGTATTCGACTGTATTCATGGAGTGAAACATGGGATTACAGCTGGACAGATTATTGTATTCAACTGCATTCACGGCGTGAAATAAGGGATTACACTGTTTTTAAAACGGAAAGTAAATCAATTAACATAATAGGCTCCTAATATAACTCAACAAACTCAATTATAACACACAATTTTTGTATTTTCAGTTATAAAAAGGATTCTCAACCGAAAAATACCCCAAAAATATAGCAATCTTCAGAGAAATTATATAATACATCTGAATACATAAATTATATTAATTAAAAAAACTTATTAATACATTCCTGGCATATAGCGAGACAGTGAATACAATAAAATACATAGAATACAGCGGGATACATTGAAATACAATAAGAAAA